GCCCAATGGACTGTCTGATTTGTGTATGTTGTAATTACATCCATTGTATTATTGGCAATAATGTTTTTGCTTTGCCGCAGTCCCACGCTGGCGTCTCGCTGATTATCTGCCAGTGTGCTGAAGCAGGAGAGGCCTTCTCAGCTGTGGCACCCCACTTATTGAATGCCCATCCCTCAGAGTCCTAACTGGCACCAAAATTGGTTTCTTTTTAGTACCAGGTCAAGATATGACTTTTTATTTAAAACTTTGGGACCTAATTTTCTTTTAAGCATGGACATGGTTTTAATCGCTAGCATTTTAAAGCTCTTTTAATTTGTTTGAAATGTTTAATATGCTCTTACCTCATTTACATTTTTTTATTTTAATTTGGTATCTCATATATATATATTTCATTTGTACCTTGCCTTTCTCCTGAGACCCAAGCAATATAAATTGTTTATATTTTATCTGTTTGCTGCCCTGAGATCTCATGATAAACAGGCAGGAGAAACATATTTTAATAAATACATATTCAATAATAAATTACTGTGAAGCTGATTGCATGTTCTTACTTTCACCAGAGTGCATATAATCGGTCTTTGTTGTAAATAAATGAGCTGGAGTGCAGTCTCACTTGAGCTGCCACAGCATATCTTACTTTACAGAGACAAAAAATTGAGCCTATGGAGGAATGAAATCTTTATCCATTTATCCATTTTGTTTGTATATTTTGCTTCTTTTTATAGAACAGTTGTTGCTGTTCTTGGCAGGGTTAAAAAAATAAACAAAAAATACAAGGAGAAAAAAAAAAAAACACCAGTTCCTTTGGACTAAAATTTTAGGAGAGAAGCTGGAGTATATCAATCAAGCTTATAAATGGGCAAGAGACCTTCAAGAAGAAAAACAGAAGCCAAAATAGAGAATGCTGAAAGGGCGTTCCAGGGAGAAAAGGAAATCTAAAAGGAAGACGGCTGGAAGTTACACTGCCTAAAGACCAGGATGAGCTGAGAGAAATTGTTGCTCTTTTTGGCTTACTGAACCCAAGTAGAAACAGCTCTTAATTTCCTCTCACATCCTCTGCCTGCCCTTCACATCCAGATTTTTACATCAAGGCCTGCCTTAAAACATCAGCTAATCATTGCTTATTCCATTTTATTAATTTCTTTCCCATCTTAATCATACAAACCACTGTATTCCCTATTACCATGCATGGATGTGAGAGCTGGATAATTAAGAAGCAAGATAGGAGGATGATAATTCATATGAGATGTGGTGCTGGAGAAGAGTGCTGAGGATTCTGTGGATAGCCAAAAAGACAAACAAATGGGTCCTGGAACAGATCAAGCCAGAAATCTCCCTGGAAGCCAAGATGACAAAATTTAGGCTTTTGTACTTTGGATGCATCATGAGAAGCCATGATTTGTTGGAAAAAAACAATGCTAGGAAAGGTGGAGGGAAGTAGAAAGAGAGGAAGGCCGTATGCTAGATATTCTGTTTTGTTAAGGGTCTACAATAGGGGAAAAACTACTTCAGGAACTAAATTTCATCATTGTGCTGTCTGCATTTTGGCCAAAAATGTGGCAGTAAAGTGATATGTTTATGGTTTCTATAGCTAAGGTCTTATTTTAGATGGTTGGGGTGAGGTTCTGAGAGTTTGTTTTTTTCTTTGAAAATTTTGTTGAAAGGGCTATATAGGGTGCTACAGAAAACAGGATGAGCCTACAGCTGAACTTTGTCACCCCTGGTTTGGGAGCAAGACCCTGGATAGGGTTAAAACCCTGGGTTCCTGAGGCTGCAAATCAGATCACACTTGCATGCCATGACTTCTCACAATTTACAGCAGAAGCAACTTGTAAGGGAGCCAGTTTTGGTTGAAAAGCACGGTATAAATTCTTTATATAGACATGTCTGGACTAAAGGCTGTCATACTTTGGCCATGTCATGAGAAGGCATGACTCATTAGAAAAGGCAATGCTGGAGAAGGTGGAGGGAAGTAGAGAGGAAGGCCATATGCCAGATGGATGGATTCAAATCAGGGAGACCGTGGGTCAGAGCCTGCAGGACTTGAGCAAAGAGGAGAGGATATGCGGGCCTGGAGATGTCTCAGTCATAGGGTTGCAATGAGTCTAGATCGACTCAAAAGCAGCTAATGACAACAATTTTTGTTTCACTCAAAAGAAACAAACAGATCTTAGAGATTTTAAGTAGGAGACCATACCAGAGTTGCAGCACCAACATAGAAAAGATGTTGACTTTCAGTCTTGCTTACTATGCTCCCAGAGAGAACCCCAAGACAAAGACATCTTGTCAGTGACAGTAATCTTGGGGGTGGGTGAGGGGAGTAGTCGCTAAAGCAGGACAAAACACAACCCTCCAGATGTTACTGGACTGCAACTCCATTTAATCTTCACTGGATGTGCTAGCTAGGGCTGGCAGGAGCTATGGCCCAGCATCTGGAAGACTGCACTTAGTCTGCCCTGTGCCCTCAAACAGTGCAGCTATTTAGGGTTTTCCATGTTAGCATGTGATGTTCCACATCAACGTGTGGCACCAGAGTCACCACCACCTCCAGCAGTTTGTGTGCTGGAGAAGCACCTCTCCCCTTACAGCCAGAGTAAAGAGACACTTCGGACAGGCGTCTCTCAGATGATGCTTTTAATCTTGGTTCCTCTATGTACAAGGCTACTATACAACTATACATCAACCACAATCCACCGTCCACTACAACAACAATCCACCAATGATCACCAACACATGTGTCCTGAGGCAACTCCCTTATAATAAATAATAATAATATTTTATTTACACCCTGCCTTTAGCCAAAGCCATCCAGGCAGCTTACATTAAAAATACACACCCACAATATATAACAATCATGTAACCCCCATGTGGCCTTCTGTCACTGCCTCTTCCTCTTGACACCTGTCACTCAACCAGGTTGACTTGGCAGTTTTGCAGCCTTTCTGCAGTGCTTTACTGTACCAGGTGACTGATGTCTTCCAATGTCACTTCCCCTGACTCAGCACTTGGTGGAAAAATGCTTTGTCATCATGGCTGGCAGTGACCCTTTGTTGCCCGGTCACTTCTATGTCATCCCGCATTGTATATTTTCCTTTGGGACTCCATCCCAATATTGCAGTGTAGAATTAGCATATTGAGTTCATATTCCCAAGTGCAGCTGGTGAGGAGATGGAAAAGAGCCTTCTGGGTGCCAGTTCCCACACCGTGGAACTGTGTCCAACAAAAGGCGGTGGTGGTTGTTAGCTGCCCTTAAGTTGACTGACTCATGGCAACCCTATGGATGAGACATCTCCAAGAATCCCTCTCTTCCACTGCCTTGCCCAGATCCTGCAAGCCCTTCCCCATAATCCCCCTGTTTGAGTCTATCCATCTGTTTTGTGGTCTTCCTTTCTTTCTTCTACCTTCTACCTTTCCTAGCATTATTGTTTCTTTGAGTGATCCATGCCTTCTCATTATGTGGCCAAAGTACGATAGTCTCAACTTGAGCTTCATTGCTTCCAAGCAAAGCCTTGGTCTGATTCCCCGCTCAGGCATGGAAACCCACTGGATGATGACCTTTGGGCAAGCCACACACACTCAGCCCCAGAAATGGTTTGAGCGAACCTGACTTCAGTGCTGAGTTGTGTATCTTTACACTTCAGGATCTTTAGGATCTGGCTCACTAGAAAAAGAGAATGATACTTTGTTATTGAAGGCAGTAATCAAAGGGAAGGGTTGCCTTCCAGATGAACAGGCTCCATGGAGGAAGGCCTGAGTCTGCAAGGCCTCAGCAGGGCTCTTGAGGACATAGGACCAAGAGGGCCAGATGCCAATAACTGCAGAGGAGGACAGTCAAGAACAATGTAAGACAACATTTAAAAACTAAAAACACTCATATAAATATAAAAGTTCATGCTGCCTGTGCTTAAAATGGAGGACGTTTTGGAATTCCTTCTGGATAGAAGGCTGAAACTGTAGGGTGTCCTGGAAAAAGAGGACGCTTTGGAGGACCCTCATCAAGTCAAAGCACCCTCTACACCGCCTTGAGGAAAGTGTAAAGCTGGCTGAGGCACTGCGCATGCGCACCGGGGAGAGCAGCGACTCAAGCTGGGAGAAGCGTCAGCTGCTTTTCCGCTTCCCCAACGGTCGCCCCAGGAACGTCACGTGGGCGGATCTGTCCAACGGGCGCTCGCAACGCACTTTTCCTTCTCTGCCCCGTCGCGCGCTCTTGTGACGTCACGCGGCTATCGCGTCGGACCTAGCAGATTCGCCATAATTCCTACTCGCTGGCCTATTCGTCGGCTTTTAATTGTAATAACCTCCGTTATTAATATTAACGTATATTTGTGCGTCGCGTTTTTTTAAATTATTTAAAAAGGAGCCTTTTCTCTTCATCAAGGGAAAGGGAAGAAGTGAGGAACGGCGGTCTCCTGAGGGGCGGCACGAAAGTGCGGTCGACGCCTCTTTACACGCACGCACGCACGCACACTTTTAAAATTTAAAATTCGGATTTTTCCTCCCCCCCTCGCTTCGAAAGCACCTCCTTCGGTTTCCCAGCTTCAGATTCGGCATGGAGGGACCACCGCCAGGTAAGTGTGAGAGGGTTTTATGTATTGAATTCGGTGGAAGGGAAGAAATAGGCCGGGGCGGAGGGATTTCACTGAGGAGAGTTAAAAGCGTGAGGAGCAATATATAGGGGTTACGGGGCTACTAGGAACACACGACACTTCGTGTTCTTCCGCCGACTTTGCGGGGCGGTCTCTATCTCTGCCTTACGACGCTGCCCCGCATATGGCGGCTGAGGAAAGAGAACCGGAATTTTAAACTTGCGCTCTCCACAATTCTTTTCATACTAGATCCGGCGTCTTTAATAGTCGCGGCTTACTTGTTACCTCTTGGTTCGTTAGAAGATTAACCAATAAAGTGATCCCTCCGCGCGGTGAAGTAATCCCGTCTTCCTATTGCGCTTGCGCGGTGCTCGAGTCGGAAATGGAGGGAGGGATGGGTTGAGTGGCTCGACTGCCAGCGTGGCGCAGCGGTTCGAGCGCTGGACTACGAATCAGGAGACCGGAGTTTGATTCCCAGTTCCGGAGAGGAAGAAAAGCAACCCACTGGGCAAAGTCACACTCTCTCAGCCTCTGAGGGTAGCAATGAAGAAACATGCCAAGTGTTTCTTGCCTCTGCGTATACTTTATCAAATTTGTAGACGACACCAAATTAGGAGGAGTAGCTAATACC